TACGGAACAGTTACACATTTTTTCACGGAAGGTTCCGTACTTTTTCGTGAACGTTCTGGACTTTTTCCGGCAAGACCACTGAAAATGTGCGTAACTGTTCCGTAATTTTTACTGAATATTGTTCTAACTGGCAGGGTACAAGGCAGGGAACAAGCACGTAATTTCTAAAGAATTTTTCTCTCCGCGTGAACTTGCAGAATTGTTCTCTCCAAGAACTTGCAGCTTACAGAAATTCGAAAATCCCCTGTTTCGCTATTGAGAGAGAAAAATTTCATAAAAAATACAAGCCTGTTCCGTAATCTGCTAGTTAAAAGACTATTCAGTAAAAATAACGGAACAGTTATGCACTTTTTCACTGAATGTTCCGCAGTGAGAAGGAAATTATTCACAACTTTAAATATTCGCGCAATGATATTATAACTATAAAATAGATAACATTGAAGTATATCCTTTTTCTCGTTATTATCTAGTTCGCGCAGAATGACTCGAATGCCTCTATCAGTAGATGTGATGAAAAAAATCCCTGACAAATGATCAATTAGTTTGCAGTTTCCCTTGACTTTTAAACATTAAAATGGATGTTGTTTGCTCATCAATGTTTCATGTCAACGGTTGAGGCCAAGTGTTGTCGTTGGCAAAGCCCTAAGTGGTTTTGCTCATAAAGTCGTTACAACCACCCAAGGATAAGATCCCATTTTTTAAAACCAAAAGCCACATGGGTACCTCGTACCAACTTGGCGTGATAGTTGCCAGTTATTTACATTAGGAACTGCCACGTACTCAAGCCATCGAACTCTATCGAGCCCCTTCAAAAAATTCAATGTACCTCTGGCCCTTATCATCTATTTTTCCTCCATTTCTACTCGCTGGATCAAACCTCAAGATAACAAAAAAGGTGACTATCACGTTACACACGCTCGCACGAGCCCCATGAATTCACTTTTCCTTCTGCATTTCACACTGAGATAGAAAGAGCGAGAATGACTCAAATGGCCAATAAAATTAAGAGACAAAGCATGCGATACACGAACAAGTTGCCATTTTAAACCTTACGGAGAAAAAAAAGTCAAATAAAATGTTGAGATGAAAAAAAAAAGCTCTTCATGAACGGAAACTAAAATACCAACTTGTGTTTATGGTAATTCTGCGGTGCGATCATATTCCAAGCAATTTAAATGTTGACCGCGCTGATTGGCAAACATGCTCACAGAAGGGGAATCCCTTCTATTTTTCACCTCTCTATCGATCCTAAATCCTTGGAAAAAAAAAAGGAATTTGAGCAAACAACCCCACGATCGTGTTTGTTTTCCATGAAGTGGACTTCGTTTCAGCCCAATCTTCACTAATGCATCCCCCGTCCTCCAACTGGCGAAACGACTTCTCTCGTTCTCTGTATCAAAACCTATAAACAGGGAGGCTAGTGAATTCAATATGAAAAAAAGAAGGAAACGTACCTGGTCCCATAATTTACATATCCGGAGGTTCCAGATACGAGAGAGTGGACTCCTCTGCACTCTCTTAAATTTCGAAGAAAAATACTTTGCGAGATATTGCCTATCACTATTTTATTCAATAATCTACACTTGAAAATTCTCTTTTATTTTCGTCACAAAATCTACTGCTTTTTCAATTATGCGAGTCTTAATGCAATTCCAATTTTAAAAAGGCCATTCAATTTTTTTTCATTCGATTTTTTATGTTAAATGACAATTGGATTTTCAATAGATTGAAGATTCAGAGGAATCTCCAATTTCTTCCTCGATTTTCCAAGAAATTAACTGATTCGTTAATGACGAATTGTTTATAAATCTCATGTCACTTTGTTATTAAAAATGGTATGTTTTTTACTTGAAATTTCAAGAGCAATTTTCGAACAGTTTATTTTTAATTCTCATTTTGGGGATTATCGACTAATCAAATTTGTTTTTTAAATAGCATAACTGAATTTGCTTCTTAAACAATTTCTTTATCAACAAACAGGGTAATTACTCCTTAACCTGAATACACTGAATACTATATTGCAATACTGATATATGATTGGTATATATGAGGCGTATTGATTTGTCAAAAGTATCAATTGTTTATACCTAATTACATTATGGTGCACTAGATTTTTCGAAGTCATTCTGACAAAAGCGATTGCAAAATAATAATAATGAAGGTGAAGAAATACAATAATGTGTGATGTCGATGACATTGTCAATGTCGAAACAAATCACAGATGAATCATCGTGTAACGACAGTGAAATATAATTCCCCCACCCTTAATTGTTATTCATTAGAGAATTATTCATACTAGTAATAAATGACACGAATGACTTTTAACTCTTCATTAACGTTCCGGCTGTCTCATCATCCATCTGAATGTAAACCTCGCCTTAATCATCCATTACGCGCAATAAATCATTTCTTGAAATTATCGTCAAATATATAAAAAATATATGGATTTATATTTCAAAGAAGGCCTATATCCAAATTCTCATGTTAACTTTTTAGTACATCAAGACAGTCTATTTATTTATATATCTATATCTATTTATAGTTATAATATCGAAATTCCTATTTGAAGCTGTAATCAAGTTCAATTGAAGTCCAATATCCCGCGACGGGTCCAGAATTCAAATATTTTAAAAGTACGATTTTTTAAATAAATTACTTTCTTATTAATATCGACGACTAGAGTTTAACAACATTTATATATAAAAAAAATATTTAATTTCATGGATACATTAGCGACTGATTGAAGACGGAATTTTAAAAAATTTCTATATAATATACACATCATGATGATGCCTCGATATAACATTAAAAAAAAAATAAAACAGGAATTTTAATAATTATCATGCTTTTATCGAAGAGAAATAAAAATAGTGGAATGGTTTCCAATGGATTGTGAATCTATTGTATGAAAAAAATGGCTTTACCAAGGAAATTTACTACACTATAATCCACACATTTCAAGGACATCACTCATTCACATTTATTTGTGGCAATTTCAGCATGCAAATTTTTACTATTTAATCTCCCCTGTGCATCACTATTTCTGCCAAGCGATTCCACGCTAATGAAAAATTTCCGCGCAGGCTCAAATTTTTTCCGCAATTCTAGCTGAAATTCGTAGGAAGAAATTCCATTTCCCTTCCACGAAGATGATAATTGCTGACGAAGATGATAAATGTACATAATATTCTTACTTTTCAATATCGGAATTTTCAATTATATCAGTTTGAACTTAATTTGAGTTAAAAAAGGTCACGAAATTTCTCATATATCTTAAGAATTTAAGAAATAAGTATTTCATGTTAAATGATAATTGATTTGTCACTAAAAACATGACTTTTCAACATCTTCCCAGTTTATCCGTGTTACATCGAGCTGAAAATAGAAAATTACCAGAATACTCAAGAAATCAAGCGATTTCATGTCACTTTGTGATTGTTAAAATTTTTGGGTCTTTTAACTTGAAATTTCAAGTGTAATTCGCCGACGAGGGAAATTCTGTCCCCAAATGAAAAGTTGCCGTGTGTCAACAGTACCTCAAATCGTCCCAACCACAACTATAAATTCTCAGTGCCATTCTCGAGAATGACAAACGACCGCCACATGCGCAATACCGTAATACACATAATTTTAATAGTATCACCGAAGGTTATTACACGGTCAAGTGGGTTGAGTTGATTAGGCCGGTCACGCTAAAGGTTTACAGTGGCCGTCGCATCGCGAGCCGAAAAAAATCCACGGGGGGACATACATAACGCCAAAGAAAAAGAAACAGCCTATAACCAACCTGAGAATGTATCACATATAGCCCGACGCACGCGAGCTAAACAGGGTTATTAGTTATTGTTGTTTGAACAGGTGCCAAATAACGCGAACAATCTCGAACAAATGAGGACCACACAAAATCCCCAAGCAAACACTCGACAAAAGAAAGTAAGACAAACAGTTTAACAAACGAGAAGGTGATAATTTAGGGTTGAATTGACAAAGCGAAGCTAATGCGCCAAATAAACTCATAAACTCTTTAGGAAATTGAACCGAGTGTTACACAAAGTGGTGGCGTATTACCGTAGTTTGAGAAATGAGGGGGGTAGAAGAAGGAGCGGTAAATATGTGAGATAGCGCGAGTGTAGGAGGAACGATAAAATTTATCTAACCGACTAAATAAACCGGTTCGGCAATGCCTCTAGCACGTGCATTTACCAGCCCTCCGTGCACTCCCGACGTGCATTTACCTCCTCTTACAAGTCATTCTAAATGTTTATTCATAAACCCTAAAAACCGCGATGTGAGGGTCAAATAGTGGGAGATATGCAGGAAGATATACAGTAGCAAAATGAGAAATTAAGGGACAACGGGCCATTTTGTTTGTCTAAGTAGCGTAGATACTAGTGACAGCAATGCTCGTATACATTGAACCTTGTGTACATTCCAATGGTCATTGTTATTTTATTCACAAGCTAGGTGAATTTAAACTCGTAAAGTGTCACAATGTGCCTCCCACACGTGCTATTCTTGATCGTTAAATCGAAATATTGTGGGTATATTTAGTGACTAATATTTATCCATGGAGTAATTTTCACTCTCCATCTCATGATATCTCAGATATATTAACAACAATCAGACGGCATTCGGCTACTATTAGATCTGTTGATCTCGGCAATCATCAACTTACATACCTCGGAGAAAGGCCAATGACGGTACGAAAGGGGTTACAAAAAACCCAACGGACAGATTGTAAAATTTACGAGGCCTAAACTCCTCCGGTGTTTCAAAACAAAAAAAGACATGCTCTCTTCAGGGTGCAATATGCTCGAACGAGAGTGTTTAACGATCACCACGATGCGCGTAAGCGGCTAAGAATTTATGAGCCCCGGGCTTTTTTACAAATATTATCTACAAAATATAGTGCAAAGCTTACATGACGAATAAATAATAATCATTCCTGCGACACTGCGACCGAAGAAACAAATAAATCCAGTTGTTATTTTTCATATAAATATCACTATATTTCCTTTATCTGCTGTTATACAGTTCAATAAATATCTTCATATAAGTGTATATACAAAAGCCGGCAGGAGATAATGTTATACATGAATAAGTGTGTACTCCAATTGTTTTCTCTCGTCGGATTCATTTAAATAGTCGACACGCCGCCGATTCTCTTTGATAAAAAAAAAACACAAACAAACAATTGAATAAAAAAAAATTAGATTGCTACATGGAGTTCATTTGAATACAATCACAAGGCAACTTGACTAAAGTAACAACAGAGAGTACCAACAATTTTTCATACAGATCGACGGTAATGGTTTTTTAAATATATATATGGCACAGACTCGAAAGTTTCATGAGTCGCACATTCACACAGTCACACCGGTGTATGTTAAATAATTCTACACAATGATTCATTAATTATTGAATGATTAATGAAAAGCACACGAAGAGGTGTTCAAGATAATTTGGAAGAACAATCACTAGAGTTTCTCGAGTGCTCGAGTATTGGTGAGGAGTTCCCGGGTGAGCCGCCAGACCTGCTTGGCAGCGTTTTCAAGTCCACTGGGTGATTTGCCCTTGAAGAGATCGAGATTTGGCAGAAAATAGTGAGGACATCGTCGACACTGGAGACAAGAGATGAGTTGAAGAAAGATGCCATTGATTCTGTCACCAAGACAGCTCTCGTCCCATTCGATTTCGTGTGGATGCTTTTCGCATTCGTACAACAAGAGTGTTTTCATGTGATAGCTAGTGACAGGATTGCCGGGCAAGTCCAAGTGTCGATCTCGTAGAGTCTTCAAGATACTGAGACAACGTCTTCGACTAGCTCCTTGAAGGAGTCTGTTCTCGGCATCGATAAATGACAATGCCCAAGCATCACCCTCCATCGCTGATTGCTTTCCCTGGAGGCCAATGCACTCCTTCGACAGCATATCAAAACCCTCGGCTTTGACCTCGGCGACAATGTTCGGATGGGGCCAGGGAATTTGAGGGATTGGCCAGTGAGACGCTGATCTTGGCCACAAACCGGCGCACTTGAATGCTGGTGTTATCTGCACAACGTATCTCTCACGGATTCTCAACTTCACTTCAGTCGTATCGGCGATCATCTTAACAGAATCTCGATAAGCACACTTATCACACGCCTGTGCCACAAGTGTCTGAAATCTCGAGCGTATTTTTCTAGCACTCAAATAACCAGACGCCGTGATGAATTCAACCCACAGTGACATTGAACGCTTTCTACCGTCGCTGAGTTTCAATACAGCGCAACCCGGCAGGGTGCCATCATCCACAAAATTCAAAACACCCATTTGATTGAGATAGATGACTATTTCAAATTCAGTCGGTGATATGACATCGAGTCCATCAAAACGCCCATTGTAATCCGTCAAGGACGATATGAAGCGCGGCTCCTGCACTTCAACTTCTTTCAGTACATCCTGAACCACTCGACAAACTTCTTGAATTGTTTTGGCAACCTGGCTTTTCCGCGACATTACACGCTCCCCAAAGTATTTATTAATTTGATAGACCATCTTGGAGTGGGATGCCAGCATATCCGGTGGCACTAGCATCTTGACGTCGCCCCCAGGCTGAGGGCACGGTCCAACTTGTAATCCCAATCACCGCATCCCCATGACAAACATCCGAAAAATAAAAAAAATAAGAAGCTCAGCTGACTGGCTTCAGACGTTCGCCGATCGGCAAAAAACTGCCGACGGCGTCAGTTTAATAATTCAAGTTTTTAGTCACTCTTCTTCACGCCACTTGGTACTCATCCACAAATAGCTACTTCCAAGCCGTGATGTCTCTTTAGAGAGAAATTCTCGTAGAGCGTTGACTCCGCGATAACTATCGGCGCAGGAGAGACACGAGCGATGCGTCAGGAAGAGAGTAGATTGAAGACTGTGCTGGTCCACCTCGGTGCCACCCACCCTCGGCCCAACTCTACCAGGTGAACCACGACGGCCCCTCATCAAGACCACGCCTCCATCCTCCATTCCACCACCAATCCTCATGGTGCTTTCCACCAGTCATGCGCCGCCCATAATCGCTCATCGATCCAACCTAGGGAATCTACCTCTCTTTCTCACTTACTTGGCTACCCTTTCCCATCAGTGAATACCATACTCCAGGAGCTTTTGCATGAATTATGCAGCGGGACTCAAGTATTTTTCTTTTATCTATCGAGGGGCGAGAAATCACCTTTGTACTCTTATTTATTTTCACATTTTTCAGCGTGACCACCAGAATTTCATTTCCCATTCCCATTCCCATTCCCATTCCCACCGGAGAATTGCTCAAGGTGAGCCTCTCAAATTTCACCGGCTGTTTTTCACACTTGGATCATCTGACTCATCTTCCAATCTACCTCGTTCATGTCTAGCACCTCTAGACAGCCTCTCGTCGAGAGTGTCAACGTAATGTGCCTTCCTTATCGTGTAGCATAAATAAATACCGAGTCGATAAGGATAGATAAGCAAGCGAGTTATTTAGCACGTTAGATGATGATATCCAGTAGCGAATGACATTTGTATAGACCTGTTGTTTTTCTGAAGCATGTAGATAACCGGTGACATAGAAAAAATAGTTTATTTATTTCAATTGCACCGCGCTTCTCATGATTGTACTGTAAATCTACCTTTTTATCGTTAATTTTATGGGGATCTGAATATATTCCGTATGAACGTATTGACGTTATCAGAATCATCTGATCGGTCAATATCTCAGGTTTAATGAACGTTTGCTAAATTATTTTCGACGGAGTAAAGAGGAAATGGGACGGGTTAACTGAGTCGAGAGTGATGTGGACAGTCAATATAATGTCTATTTACATATTACATATGTGAAGCAGAAGTTTTTCAAATATAAAATAAATACTTCAAATAAATTTTACATCTGTGAAGATATTTACATTCAACAACGATAAAAATATATTGTCCATGTGAAGTTCATAATAATTATTAACAAGATCAAATTTCAGTAACAAATCACATTGAATCTGTCTGTGAGTGAAATTGAATTCATTAGCTCACAGATTGAATTCTATAATAACAAAATTTAACTCAATTTAAAGAGGCAATAATGAAAGAGGAAAACTCCTGGCAAATGAGCGAGTGTAGTACTTTGCTGTGACGATAAACGCTAATTGGACATAATATGTCAAATTATTGGCTAGAGTTTCTCGAGTGCGCGGCTGTTGGTAAGCAATTCTCGTGAGAGTCTCCAGACTTGTTTAGCTGCGGACTCTAATCCATTTGGTGACTTTCCCTTGAATAGATCGAGATTCGGCAGAAAGTAGTGCGGACATCTGCGACATTGTAAACAGGATATAAGTTGAAGGAAAATACCGATAATGCGATTGGCTAGACAACTGGCCTCCCATTCGGCTTCCAGGGGATGTTTTTCGCACTCATAAAGAAGAAGAGTCTTCATGTGATAGCTGGTGATGGGATTGCCAGGGAGGTCGAGATGTCGATCACGAAGAGTCTTGAGGATGCTGAGACAGCGCTTGCGACAACCACCCTGAAGCAATCTCGTTTCAGCTTCCTTGAAGGACAACACCCAGGCATCCCCCTCCATCGCTGATTGTTTTCCCTGGAGAGCCAAACACTCTTTCGACAGTAGATCAAACCCACCCGTTTTGACTTCAGCGATTAACCCCGAATGCGGCCAAGGACCCCCCGAAGCTGGCCAGTAAGCAGCAGATCTCGGCCAGACACCTGAACACTTAAAAGCCGGTGTGATCTGAACAATGAACCTCTCTCTAATCCTGAGTTTCACCTCAGTTGTATCAGCAATCATCTTGACACAGTCCCTGTACGCACACTTGTCGCAAGCTTGAGCAACTAGCGTCTGAAATCTAGATCGAATTTTCCTGGCACTGAGATAGCCAGAGGCAGTGATAAACTCCACCCACAGCGACATGGAGCGTTTCCTTCCGTCGCTCAGCTTGAGCACCGCACAACCCGGCAGGGTGCCATCATCAACAAAATTGAAAACACCCATCTGATTCAGATACAAGACCACCTCGAATTCACCGGGTGATATAACCTCAAGTCCCTCGTATCTACCATTGCACTCGGTCAAAGATGATATGAATCTTGGCTCCTGCACTTCCACCTCTTTCAGCACATCCTGAACGACTTTACATACTTCACGCGTTGTCTTCTGTATTTGCGCCATCCTCATCTGAACTCGCTCCCCATGGTACTTATTCATCTGATATATCATGTCCGTCTGGACGGTGGAGAAATCCGATGGCACAAGCATATTGACTCCCATGTCTCATCTAACCCTCATTGTTTAACTCAATGCTGGCTCATCCGAACTATCAACCTCTCTCTACCAACTCTATCAACAACAAAATCAACTGAACTGTAATAGCAACGTATTTATCTCTTGTTGTTAACCGATGACCGCTGAAAAACTAGGTATGTGACGCGCGCGACGACAGAGTCCCGGTCAGGTCCACTGGTATTAGCTATCGGTGGATTTTCCTGATGGTAATATGCGCAACACCACCGCAATACCACTGCCAAGTCCCGCCTCCATTCGCGATAGATTCACGTGGCGTCTGCGCGATTCTGCCACGCCCAACGCGACTCATCGCATGCCTCTCTCACCATCTCCCTCTCGACTTCACCACCCTAATGGGTGTTACAACCTCACACCCATAAGAAAATTCACAATCAACATCAAGTTGACCAGTCAAAAAACGACAACTCGACCAAGTGATGCAGCTGAATAAATTCGTTCCGATGAGAATCACCTCAAGTTTCTTATTGACTTAACGAATGATTGATTTGATCGTGATGACAGGTGTCAGCTAGACACTTGCTGTTTTAATTCCGGCGGTTCATCAAAGGATACTTTATATGGTCTTCATCGTCAAACATCTTCAGCAAATGCCAGTGGAGAAAAATCAGCGAACGACAAAAAAAGGTAGATATGTGAAACCCGTGATAGGGGGAAGCCCACCCAACAAAACAGAGCACTCATTCACGGATAATTGAATAAAGCCCCGGGAATCCAATCTAGTAGAAGTTGGAGTGGTAGATTGGTAGCCAACGACCCCCGTGCGGCCTTCTAATGCGACTTGATTCATGAGCACCAGCTACATCACCCTCGCCAGCCACATATTTCTGCTGAGGGGTCAAAACACTCTGCGTCAACCCCCAAAATGCTTTCTCTGCCCTAAATGCGTCTTTCATCATCCTGTGTTTCGACTTAATTCGTTCATCCACCAATTATTTTCTCACTCCTGGGGAGATACATTAATCGTAATTGGTGATTTTTAATCAGGTTCAGAGTCATTATCCACTACCATACAGCATCTGTGTGCTATCAAACTTCTCATAATATCCGTCTTCTTCATTTGAATTTGGAGATCAATCCGGGAGATCAGATTCATCCATTGTCCAGTACCTTGAAAAGAGCACTGTTGATGTTTGGAAATCATCCCAACCGTTGGATCGTTTCGCGTCTTCATTGTGCAATGGAGGCCCAACACAATCAAAGAAAAACAGTCATCCGAGAAGATTCAACAGACTCGGCCTTGTAAATCAGCTCGAATGAACATCCCCGAATAATCCCTAGTATAATCCCCAAGGAGGGCTTGGTGATCGGGGGGCTTGAGCTACGGCAGCCGGCGAAATAGACGCTTGTACTCAAAGATCTAGTCGGTGAGATCAAGCAAATGGCATGGAAAATGATGAACAGTCCTCATTCCAGAAATATTTGACTCGGATACTTGGAACTCGTTGGAATACGATAGAAGTTTTTTTACCTTAAACTTCGGATATTGTAGTTGATCATATTCTTGTTTCTATGCGATCACTCTATTTAAAAGACCTGACCCAAAATTGAGTCTCAGAAAATAATTTACCAAATACCCTTCGACCTGCATAATTAATTGCAATATTTTCCTTTATCACAGTAAAGGAGAAAGTTACTCTTCATCAAGATTATTTACCTGTTATGAGAACACATTTTCTTGTCGATTTTTTAAATTGGTGAATCCCTTGATAGTTGATTGATTTGCTTTCACACTGGAAGAAAATTTTGTAAAAGATTTTGTACTGTTAAACATTTTTTGAAATTTATATCATTACATGAGTTCGTATTTAATTTTAATTGAAAAGGGTCATTAAATTTTTCGTATATCTCGAAAATTCGGGAAAATTCGCTTTTTTATGTTAATATTCATTTATTTTTCAGCGAAACCTTGAATTTTCTTGCACATGAAATTTCAAGTTTAAGTTTCCAATGGTGTGAACACAATGAGATTCGCTTGTTCCCTGAGAATTTTCACGGTTTCTCATGACTAGGACTATATCATAGTTGGTTGATCAATTCATGAGTTCGCATTATACTTACAATTTTTCTTAGCACTTTGTTAGATAATATCTTGCATAAAGAGTGTAATGCTTGAGATCAATGTTCCGTACACTTGAATTAATAAAGAAAGCCTTTATCGTGCAATCAAAACGAGAACTGCACAGTTGGAGATGATGAGTAATCAGACCAGCAAAATATGAATTTTTGTAATTAATTCAGTTCTTTATATCAAGCAAACTGCATGAATTCATGGGACGGCTTAAGCTACCGATTAAAAATTCTGGATAATTGAATTTTTTCCCTGTGGAACAATTTTTTTTCTCTATATCAGAACAAAAATATTTATCAAAGAATTTCGCGATTTAAAAAAGTCACAAAATAGTTTTTGATTTTTTTTGATCGTGTGGCTCGCTTAATCATTCAAAATCATCACTTATTAATTCACCGGAATTTTCGTTAAATTTTGCAAACTTTACATGGAATGTGGAAAATTACACTGGAATTTTTACTTTAAAAAACTTAAAGTTTTTAACAATTTTTCATTAACGAATTATCGATTTTAGATCGACATGGCACCGAAAAACGATGAAAATTTGGGGAAAAAGGGAAAATTCAAGCAATAATTTCCAAAAATATTGAACCTATTAAAAATTCACGATGAGCATGAAAACTCAACTTTTCAGAGTTTGAATTTTTCCTTTAAAAAAAAAACCTGGTGCGTAGGAGGATCTGTCACCGGAAACTGAAAACCTTATTTCACGTTTTATAGAGATCAGGAAGTGTTCAGTTGAGTTTGGAATAAATAGATGGAAACTTGGGTTTGTTTACGAGAGACCGGGAGACCCTTCGTTGCGGGTCATTAAAGAACCCTCCACCAGCCCACCAGTCCCATCAGAAGGTTCAATTTATGATAACGACAGGTACATTCTCCAGCAAATCTTCCAACATTATTGATCCGTACACGTACACCGGAGCCGTACGAAAAAATAGTGATACTCCACTCCAAAAATAAAATCATCTCACAGATATGCGAATATAATAAAAGAGAGGCCATGCGTGAGTACTAGACTTGAATAGTTACAATATATTGGTACAACAAAAAGATCGATGAAATAGAATCACGACATAATTTAATCAATGACTCATCCGATTAGAAACCGATCTGAGGAATGATAATTCATAAGGTTTTCGTTTATTCTGAAATATGGTGCATTATCTCGTGAGAGAAGCAGAAGGATAGGTACATGAGAACGTGCACGTGGCTGACATAACTCATCGCGGGGAGAAAGCGTTTCAAAAATGAATGTTCCAACCATTAGACGCATCCCCACAGTTAGTTATGTCTGTTCATCACGGAAACATTCTCCAGTAAATTCAAATGATTTAGTTGCAATTCACTGTGAAACACAGACTAAAATATATTGCCAACGATGAAGGTCATTGGATCATTAGAGAGCGGTGTAGCAAGAGGTGTGGATGATGCTGTACTTCACCTTTCGATCAGCATCGACCGCTTAATCTGTTTGTTGTACACCGCCGGCTGCTAAGTGGTTTCCCATTGAGTTTTTCACTCGGGGCACAGTACCCCATACAAAAGGATATCACTCCACAGAATGGAAAACCTGGGGACGTCCCTGTCGGGGTCCCTCCTGCGAAATGTGACACATGTTGTTACATCACCAGTGCCCTATTGTTGGCTCGCCCCCGATTGATGCTCGATGGAGGGGAAACAAACTTGTATATAACTAGGAGACGAACAGCGCATAGGGAGTTACACTAATCGTGTAACACTTGACACCCGACCACCACAATTCTCAGTGTTTGCACTATGTGGGGTCCGATGTGCTTTTTCAAATTTGGCTCGTACTGATTTTTACAACTGGCGGATCAGCAGATTCCCTCACGGACAATACACAAAGTAGTTGCACATTCGCCCAAGTTTGCTAATCTGCTACTATCTTACGCCGATCGTGTAATGAACGTTGGGTCAGTCCCTCGTGCCATCATACACCCCTAGCATTCATGTCTGATGATCGGTGAAATAAAATTTTGAAATCGATTATATATATTTGTTCTAATAGTTTATGATCGCTTTATAATCCTAATCCGCTTTTCAATGCAGGAGATATTAGGTTGATGTTTGGTCTTTCAGAGGAGATCTGATGATTTCGATCGAGAAGGCATTCGATTAATTTGACAGACTCGGTAACTATTATCCGTAATTGCGCAGCTGAATAATACCAACTGGATCGAGCAGTACGACAGTTACTGAACGGCTAGGTGATATAGTATGACGAAGATGCAGTCTGAGCTTCAACTAAATGGAACGGTTCAGTCAATTCACTAAACTATACAACAAAAATTTTATTTTATAGAATCAAATATGATTAAAATCGGTTAAATCTGTTGGGTTTACAATTGAATGCCCAGTTCCGATCAACGGAACCGGGCCAATAGGAAAAAAATCCTCAACCGATAAACCGTGACTCTTCTATCAATGCGCTTCACTATTGAATTAAGGAAAGGAACTACCGAACTATGAAAATAGCTGCGAATTGAATTCAGTTGATAGTCTGTTATCACAATGGTATCTATTGGTAGTACGCGTTTGACATTTTTCCTGGATAAATTCGAGACATCATCAATAACCCAAACTCATTGCGATTCGATATTTTTTGTTAATGAGACTAACAGTTTGCAATGAAATGATAAATCTTCGATAAACCACTCCTTCATCAATAGACGCTGGTGATAATTCTGAACGCAAACAATCGAATGACCAATAATCCCCGATCTTCTGATAAAACCCGACTCCCGGTCAATACGTGATGTATCAGTCTCTTTTTCCGAGCACCTGAATAATAGATTCCCCAGCACGACTCGTCTCTTATCACATCCCTCCAGTGTTTGCAAGAACTCTGTGCATGCGCAAGCCTCAAAGGGTGACTCCAAGTCCCGGTCTATCCCCTAATCTCTATCTCATCATCCCACACATTTGTCCATCAAACCCTAAAGAATAACATGCACCTCAGCTCGACAAATTACCGAAAATCTTTTAAAATTGTCAAGCCAACTCTGTCGTTTATTCTCCTGAATTAATGTATTTACATTTCGTGAGAAATGACCTCTCAAGTTTCCCGATAGCATTGAACAATTTTCTTCTATATTATTTACTGTCATCCTGACTTATTGGGGAATAGTGGCCTCTCAAGGGACTTGAGGACCTTCCGCCGGATAATTAGGTTTTGACGGGTGTCAGCACGCGGATGCATACACGCCACCCTAGGAAACATCGTCGACTCCTGTTTAGCCTCTCCAGCGACAGAAATTCAACATTACACCCTTAGTAACTGTTCTGATTCGTTACACGTCAGGTTCGTATGACTTCATGAGTCTCTTCATTAATTCGGAATTTGAAATTGGTCATGTTGGGTCTTTCCGTTGGTTCGTTTCGTTCTACTCTGTTCTGTTCAGTTGATCATATCTTGGCAGTACTTCAGCCAATAAGTCAGCGGATAATTATATCGAGTATAATTTAATTCGTCGCCATTAATGGCATAACAGCCGCTTAATATATTCTCATTAAAACGGCCAACGAATTGAGAGCCTTGTTAAGTCACTGGGCGGTAAATAAAGACTCTTTCCACCGACCCCTCTTCACCTCTTCATCCACAGCATGAGGACATTATACAACATCCAAAGAGCGCAAGTCCTCTCGTACCTTCCTGGGGATCGATTCCTGCAGCCTGTACAGGAGAAGCTCCTCCCACCAAAGTGACGGCCATCTTTGCAAAGCCGGCAGAACTGTGTTCACTATATCGTATCACACTTCACCGCATCCAGGTTACATACTTACCTTTGCGAGCATGCGGTCTCCCAACAAACGATGCCGGCATAACACATATATATATCTTACCCTTCTTATGTCCACTCATTTTTTTTCCCTCTTCTTTCAGTCTCCATTTTTTCTATTCCTGCATATCCTTTTGTATTCTGATGCGCGGCCTTATCCGACTCTCACTGGTTCCTTGCGAAAAGGTCGCCACACTCATGGAAGAGTTAGGTCCTATCGACTCGACGTATTCGGTTGAGCATTTTTTTACCATTCGTTGAGCGGACCCAGGCATTTATTTATTCAGTCATAAATACAACAACTAGTACTTCATTCAATTGTTTGCCAATTCTAACTAAATTTAATTCTATCTCATTTTCCGTTGAATTAACGGATGGGCTGATCTTGTAATAATTAGCGAAGACCAACTTAGTGTGATAAATTCGTTATATATTATTTAATGATGATTTGTCTAGATCAGCGGGACTCTACAATATCGTACTAATAGAAGAATTTCGATTCGATTCGATTTTATGAATGGGGACGTAGTCGGTTGACCACTCGTTGAGAAGAACCGGGCATTCAGTCATGAATATAACAAGTAATATTTCATTAAAATGTCAGCCATTTTTAATCACATTCGATTCTATTTAACTGGTAAATATAGTTACCAAAGAGGTATACTTGGTGTGAAAAATCCTGTTTAATGATGATTTATGCGTAGATGATTGGAACTCTAATATAGAAGCCGAATAATGACCGATGATAAGTGACGGTAGTAACGATGCCGAGGGTGTGTGACTCCGGCCCACGTCCAAATTAGGTCAAGTTTAGTCGGATTAGTACTTGGATGGGTGTCCGCTTAGGTACACTTCTCGGTGCGGGACTACCGGGGCTAGGCATGTAGAGAACTACTGTGTTCACCGAGTCAGTGTGATTAATGAACACAGCAGAATCCCTACATTACCAACCGGCCCCATGACTCAGATTTTCTATGGTTTCCCTCAGTACAAGCTAAATGGGTGCAGTAACCAAAGTCGGTTCATGGCACCGTAAAAACAGAGAACGATAGTAGGATAGCTTAAGGCTATTAAGGCTATAAGCGACGAGAGTCGTTTATAAAACCGTAAGTGGTAGTAGGACATGAGATACATAAGGATCTCAATAAAAATACAAAAATAGTATATTTCAAAAACAACTTTCTACACGAGTTGCTACCGGATGCGCTTCGCTTCGCCTGCCCAAAAAGTGACTTTCTCGCACATTGCGAAGACAAAATATATAAAAATAATGACCGATCATTAGAGTAATATAATTGGGAAACTATTATTTGTTATTGTACCGTATGAGTTGTCATGGAAGATGTTAGGAGCGATTGGTTATGTTTCGATTCACGAAGCGGAACATTCAGAATGTCAGCATCACCATACGTGCTTTCCATTTTTTTTATAGATCTCCAATAGGTCTCATTGACTATGACAATAATCTTCCATGGTCTGTCGAGATTATTTCCATTAAACCAATACAATCGCACGACCGTTGCCATCCACAATTTAGATAGCTATCATGTGCTTCGACTAGATGACGAAGTCAATAAACCACAATTCGATAACTATTACCAAAAGCTCTCGTGAGACCGATAATTAATCTGGATCAACTGCGTATTTAGTTGAAAGAACATTCCTGAACTAGTAGACAGAATTTTCAATCGAATCGCTGGGCTGATATAAGCAAATCCTTTTATCAGTGCAAGAGATTGACCCTGTAATTCCATGTAGTGGACATTTCATGGGTCTGATTTGAACAAACAGTTGATTTGAGTTCATTTGGGACTAAATAAATTGTATTAATCGATGATCTTGTTAATCTTGAGATTGTTGGTGTTGAATTTCTTTCTCAAACATTAAATCTAGCTTCAGAAAAAGAGATACCATCTCTATATATTTTCAGTATCATTATTTTTCCAATTGATTCCATTAATTTAAGTGAAATCGACCCAAACATTAATTTTTCTTAGTTTTCAATTATTATTGGAGCTGAATTCTATTTTGATTCGGAGAATGCCATTTTTAGCAGATATTTTAGGAATATGAGTCCTTTATGAGAATCTATAAAGAACAATGTGTAACATAAAAATAAGGTAAAAAAGAATGGAAAGAATTTCCTTGAGAAGTGAAAATTCGTTAATTCTCATAATTATATTTATTTTTGTTTCAGGTGTTGAAATTCTGCGATCATCTTCACGGCAAGTGGTACTTCTCAGAAGTGCGAGCGATATTCTCACGACGGTACTTGCTCCAAAATCTGGCCATCGAGATTTTCCTTGCCAGCAGAAGTGAGTATATACGTACCCTTCCTAACAAAAAAAAATACAAATTTAAAAAAAATAAAGAAGTTTTGCAATGGTGCTGCCGGGTGACATTCCAATTTTCTTGCTCGAGATGCATTTCACACGCCACACGAGACAAGCTCTAATCTCTTATGCTGAAATAAAATAAAGAAAGTAGAGTGCACTGGTGGGAATTCCAAGCGTATCTTCGAGGTGTGTGAGCGCGTTTTGATGGAACTCGAAGATTTTTCTTTTTACCATTGTCAACATAAATATCAGTCACGCATTACGGTATGTATTTTTTGCGGGGACGATTCATTATTCCAATGGGCTGCTTTTTCATTATTCATTTCTCCGGGAGTCGCACAATTTCATATATATTTTTTTTTATTGATTCTTTTAATAATTCATTTTACATATATATATATTTATATATATATATACATATTTTTTTTTACCGAAGCAGCCATCTGCAGCCTCTGAAATAATAAATATGAGACAGTTGCGTATACCTGGCGAGCCGGGTCTCGGTTTCGTCCTACTGATTATTTCACCGTCCAACGATAAATTCCCAACGTCCACGTAGATTCTAATCTCAATATCCTTGACTCTACTCTCCCCTACGCGTCTCCATGAACCTCTGGAATGTCACCCCTTGGGCACAAACGTCGTTTGTCCAACGAGTAAAATTTTGATCGTGAAGAAAAACAAAGAGAATTTACTGGTGACCTATGAATCATTATCCGACTTAAGTGTTTGAGCATTAAAATTGAATAAAAAAATTTGACACTTTTTTTAAATCAACAGCCTCAATCCTCTTCGCCTTTCCGGACCAGACGACAGTGAAGAAGGTGATCAAGGCATTGCCGAGGGTCGGCGTAGGCATCAAATACGGAATTCCACAGACTAGGTAAGGAGCAAAATTTCAAGATGGAAAAATTCAAAACTTTTTTGTCTCCCGGAGATTCACTTAAAACCAATTCCACTTGGAACGCATGCGGACACGCTCTTGGCATACCGCGAGTTTCTTTGTCTCATTCGTAAAGAGTCCTCTATGCTTGGGTTTGTTGGATCATGAGGGAAAAGAGGACTTCTCCTGTGCGGCGAACAACACAGCTTTGCGGCACTGGACCATCCATTAAACTATCCCTCTAACGTATATAAACCCGCGAGAGATACGATGCTCATAAATATACGCCGGTTCGAGACCTCTCGACGTCTGATCCGACGTAGATTCCTCGCTCCGTTAAATAAAAATATAAGACCTCTGGGGGGAGAAAACCTTTATAAGTTTGCTAAAATCACAGTCTCATTTCTTCGATGATACCTCGTTGCCAGATATCGTTATCTTTCTAGATACCGATTTATCGAAATCTATCATTTCTTTAGTTGGCGTTTACTTGGCGTATGCTATATTTTTGTATCTTAATGACAGTTGTATGCTCGTTTCGATTTGTGTTTAACGTTATTGTCGTGTAAAATATTTAATCAACTTTTTTTTTTATGCTGGATGGGTAAAAAAATAGCTGCAGATAGCTGATCACTTTCTGCTTGAGATTGTCCACTTTGAACTTGAGATAGAATTTTTTTTATTTGGATTACTTAACAAGTGTTTAAATGGAGCTTCACGGATTAGAATTTTTTTCCAAGCGACGGTACGACAGTTTTTTAAATAAACATTATTTAGGGTAGAAGCAGCATCATTAAATACGGTGAAATAAATTATATCGATTGACCCTTTTGTTTTTGCGGGATTATTTACGATAGATACAAAACGATTATGTATAAATATTCCTTTTTCGTTAATTTTGAAGTATAAAGAAGTCCAACCGGATGTAATTTTTCGAGCCATTAAAAATTCAGTTTTGATATCATAGTAGATTACGAGTGAAAATATTGAGAAAATGAAATAGAGTGTACGCGTAACCATAGAAATATAAAAAACAAAATGTATTACGATTCAAAAAACATGAATGGCGCATGTTGACCTATAGTAGGTTTCTTACCCTTTTGAAATCGTAAATAGAGTCGGAAATATAAAAATCACTTTCCTCCCAAACAATAATTGAAACATGAATAATTGGAGGATAAATCTTTAAATTGCGGATGGGTTTAGCTATAATCTGAAATATTTTTAAAAGATTCTTCACGAAAAATCTGAAACTTGTCACATTTAACTCAAAAACAAAAAAAAATGAATGAAAAATAGTTTTTAAAAGCTACCCTTCAATGATTGAAAATCATAAAAATATCGCATTTCTCAATGAACTGTTTTTTAATATTTGTCGTTGCATTTACGATCTCAAATCGATAAAAAAAAACTCGTTTGAGATCGTAAATGAGGCACGATGAGGCGTGAATTACGATTTCAATCTAAAAAACAAGCAAAATTTCCATAATATCCAGTTGTTAAATCATCATTTACTCTCTTCGAGATTGTAAATTACCCCCTCTAAGAAAATATTTTACATAAAAATACATTCCGTGATATTTTTTCAAAATGAAAAATCATTTGTATCCAATTGATTGGCGGATCTTAGTGAAACACTATTCCTGCTACTGAGTAATCCTGGCTAGTTTTTATAGAGCCGAGAATCAGCGGTATAATAATTTGAATATCTAATTAAAATTTAGTACAATAATGTGCGGTAATTTTCTCTTGATAACCGCTCCTCTGATAATTCCCCTCCGATAAGAATTAGAAGTTGAAATCTTTAGTGTCCAAGATTTTGATTTGTTGGACACTTTAGATTTTTTGATCTTTGTCGTATGCAATAAATTGGGACCTTCATCCTATTGAAAATCCCCTCTCTTCATATTTATATACACATCCGGTGTTCTCGTTGATGTTTTTATCCCGAACGCATGCCAGTCATTAAATCTTCGCCGTGATGTGTAAATTCTCAAATCAGAATATTCTCACTCAAGGATATCGCGGTGATGTAAAAGACGGAATGGATTTATTACTCCGGAGGCGGTGGAAGTGCCTTTATGATGCATTTGCACTCGTGCGAAAAACTCGGCTCGACTGGTTCCGTTGATCGCACTTTGATCAGTACCGAAATGGTATTTAAACTGGAGTAATAAATTGCACTCAAGTATTTTTACTTGTTAAATTCTCCATTCGTTGGAGTGAAACTCCTTGATAATTATTCAGTCGAACATTCCCACGTAAATATTGATACCAAATATTAATATCCATTTAATTAATACCTCCAACTAATAACTTTCATTAATTAATTAATAAAAATTAATTCATCGCAGAGAAAAAAATCCTATTCGGAAATAAATGGAAACTCAAAAGACCTAGCCCCTGAAACTTCTTGAAATTTAAAATCAATAGACAAATCTTGGACTATACTTTTGTCAAGTCTTCATTCCAGGAAGACGTACTTTAATATTTCAGGTATCTACAAAAGATAGGTTTTTAATTTAATTTTGAATGAAATTTGCTCAATAATTTTTCAATATCATTCATGGCAACTTATAACAATAAAATTCCGGAATAATTGACCCTTAAGTTTTTTTGGCTTATTATTGCTTAAAAAAATGAAAAGTCCAAAGTTCCGACGTATTTTGTTGTTGAAAGTTTTTCACGTACTAAGTACTATACATTGAGACTTAGAAAAATCAGTCTGCAATTGCCTCCGCAAACATAGGATGTGAAAATTTTGGAGTACCAAGTCCAATAGTACTACGTACTTAGGAGTTCGACAGTTCATAAGTTTGCGGAGACTGAAGGACTTGGCACATTGGATTTCATTGGGAATCATCTTACTGATACTTTCGTTTTAAATTTCTAGGAGGGCATCAATGATGTCGCCGAGACAACTGATGAGGAGCTCAAACATGACTCAAAAGTGGCAAAGAAGAGAGATATCGAACTTTGAATACCTCATGTTCCTCAACACAATTGCTGGTAAGTCTGATGATAATCCATTCTTGAACCATTCCATCTGCGCATCATGAAACGCAGTAATGGAGTTTCTTCAATCCTCGTATACGTTGAAAGCCGAAAAAAAAGAGGAAATGTTGCCGAATGTTGTTGGGATATACGAAGAGAGAGACGTTAGAGTACCGCAGCTTTTTATGGTTGCACACGGACGGATGGAGTCTGTCGTGGCGTATTAGGGATGTTCTCAATCAGCCCTGTGTGTTCGGTTCTGGGCCACCCTAGCCCTGAGTAATCCCTGTACCTCATCCTTCCCCACCTTTCCCCTCACTGACATGTCCCTGGTAATCCTATGGCTCCAGGGAGAAAGCTACTGTGTCCCCAGGGTAAAAAACCCTGCTCTTTGTTTCTTTCCTTCAATATTACAAATATTACCTTCTTTTTATTTTTATTTTTATTCTCAAGTATTTTTAACTTTCTTTCTTCGTGCTCAATATGATACCCAACAACTCAAATTTATTATATTTTATTTTTTTTTTATTTCGAAATTAAATATTTTATATTGAACATTCGATTATACCATAATTTCTCGATAATTTTCAATTCTTCTTCAACTCATTAAAAAGATTTTGAATAATTGCCAAAGGGCAATAATCCATAATTCCCGGGTGGTTGAGGCAATTTTTAATGACGCCGATGAGCACGGACATGCAATTATTCGTAAAATTCAGACTGAGTCGAACCGAGTCGGTGCCGTTGGGCATCGTACTATTTACGAGGCTTATATATTAATTGCACAAATAAATAGCCAAAGGCAATGGGGGCCCAGTGCCCAGGATATATGCAGGGTGAACCGGTCGTACATGCTGTCCATATACTCAGAGGTATGAGCAACCAATCCTGCATGCTTGAGCACCCCGTCACTTTTCTTCGGCTCAATGAAACATTCCGCTAATAAACTATCACTAAATTTCAGTGTTAACAACACACGGATAAATATCACGTTATTCTTGTAAAAATGGTGTACATCTTCCGTTATTCTTCAGCGAAATTATATTTTTTTATCTGAATTTTCCGCGCCTATTTAGGGTGTCCCATAAAAAGATCGGTTTCTTTACGTTTATTCTTCCAGGATTGAAGCATTGTAATTGTTTTATTTTTAATGCATCATTTGTGATGTTAGGATGACTGAGTTTTCATATCATATTTATATAGATTTATGTATTTATATTAATTATTTACAATATTCAACTCAGAATTTTCGTTTTTTTTAGATCAATACGACCAATTTATGTCATCAAAACTTTTTTTGAGATCTACACAAAAAAAAATTGTTCAATTTCATTCGGCCGAGTCTCATTATATTCAGTTCAATGTTTTCTTGACCGAATTTGAAGGTGGAGAGGATTACGTTATTCGCTTTCTGGACATTCGCTGCAGCGTTGACGTCGGTACAATATCGGTCGAAGGTTGATCCAAGGTTGACGCAATGTTGGCCGAATATTGGCGTAACTAAACATAACTATTTATTACCAAAAATGATCATATCATATGAAATCATAGGTAATATTGTACTAAAGTAAATATATTTTTTTTAATAGTTCATGGTGAAGAGTCACGGTTAATGATAAGAGTTATGGGAGTAATGAGTTAATAGTGGAAGGTTGATCCCGTGAATAAATTTTTCCTGATGACTCCACGCTGTCCAACTGCCGACAGAATTTTCCATCGCGATTGTATCGGTCTCTGCGAAGGATCTGAAGGTGCAGACTGTGAATTATTGCTTAGTGGAAAACGATGGATCGATAAAAGCCCATTCGCATCCCACGCCAGTTATTTTCTGTTTCTTTTTTTCTGTATCTCGCTAGAGAGTAGAAATTCTGCGACAAAGTGCAGTTGAATGAGTCACAGAATGACTCATCATGTCTTATTCGCATTGATGCAAGTAGCTGTTGGTAAATATTCAAATCGATATCTCCATTTTTTAGGGTACATCGAAGTAAAAAAAATGTAGTTCATCTGAAGTAAAATATCCCGCGAATTCCAATATTTCTTATATATTGATACAACGGTTATTGTTTTTATTTCCATCTATTGACTTGTTTAACAAGATATCAAAACAAATTTTATACGCCATCATTAAAGTATTCCATAACTTTTTTTTTGAGCTATCGGAAAACATAAAAAATTAACAAAAATAATTAATGAATTAAATTTCAATTAATATCAACGACTAGGGCTCAACAATAGTTGCATATGAGAAAAAACTGATTTAATTCCACGGATAAAGGAGTCTCTAATCGAAGATGAAGTTGAAAAAAGTGCCGCACGAACATATCTATATACATATCATATCTAATTCAGAAATTATATTTCAAGGATCACAATGCTTCCATCCACATGTAAAACAAAATTTCCAGGTGTACTCAGTCGATTTTTACGAAAACAGACCGCTATCGATTTTCTCGATTTTCTTCATTTCCACAACTCCATTCATAATTTTTATTAATTAACCTACTGCAAATTTACTGGATTTTCTGCGTGGCCAAAAATTGACCCCTGCAGGTCATGAACCTCGAGGGATGCACTCTAATTATTCAAAGAAAAGGAAAAACTTGCAAATTATCTGGATTAAGAAGCAGCATGTCATCCTGAAGCTTGTTGAACACTTATTATAAGGCATTCTCGACTGCAATGGGTGTGGGAGAGGGCGGAATGAGTCCTGAAAAAAAATCTAGAACTACATATAGAAAGATCTCCGAATCCGTCGCGAGACATACCCGCTGTCGTGCCGTAGTTCTCAGGCATTCGCTCATCGCCGACGGTCCCATTAATAATCACTTTGATGCATAACACGAACCCGCGATTATTTACCGTCTCCTCTACCCATTGGGAATCGTGAAAGGACCCATTGATTTACGGTGCATTGTCCTCGCGCAGTTCCACCGATTGTCACGATTGAAATCGATCTATCGATTGTGAACGGATACCCAATCCGCTCTAAGTTGCAAGAATTTAAAAACCCACATTCATTAATTTTTATTTCTCTTTTCATTTCCATCTCAGACGCAACATTTATTTGATTTATCTCTTCTTGATTACTCAACTCTAAAAGAAAAGTGTTCATCAAGTATTTACGCGATTGATCGCAGTTAATCTTTTTTCTTTTCTTGATTCAAGTCCAAAATGCTTTGGGTCAACAGCTGGCGTCTCGTTTTGATGAAAGTATGCATACACTTAATAGTATATTGTGCACCAAGGAAGGAAAACAGGGCATTCTAACCCGCGTGTGTATTACTAAGTCAAGGCGAACCCGAGGGTAGTAGACACTTAGCTTTCAATGTTTCAAGTTCGATTTTTGTTCGTTAATGACGAGAGGAATGTGCTTTATCCTGAGAATTAAAAACAACAGAAATCTGAGGGATGGAATAGGCCACTTTCTTAACTATTACGAAATAGTAATTTATGCTACCTAGTAATTTATGCTAGCCTGTGTGGCATATGTTACTTTATATTACAAGGCCCGACTAACTGAGGATTTTTATTGCCCAAGAGAGGTAAGTAAGAAGAAAGGCGATAAACGGCCACTTACCTCCCTAGGGCAATAAAAGGACGAGGTTAGGGCGGGCATAAATATAGTAAAGGGTGACATAAATATAGTTTTCGTATTCTTTTATTATTCTGCACTGATTCAAATCTGCATTTACTTCATTCAAATCCATTGTCAAATCCATTGTGAATATTAGAATCTTCGAAAAATAAGTGAACGTTTAGTGTTTTTAATTAGCAATTTGGCGAAAGGATTGATTCAAGAATCAGATGGGTTGGTCACACAACCAGTCTCAGAAAATAATTATCTAAAATCTTCAGGTTGCGAAAGTTAGAAAAAAAAGTTCATGAATTTTATAGTTTTCTCATCTTTCCATTAACCTCTTCTATGAGTGGTAAGTACAATTAATAAAAGAAAAAATATTATTGAATGAATGGGAAAATGTTCTTATTTTTATTAAATTTGAGTTCTCAATTCTAGAAAATTCATTTTCTATTTTGCATATTTTGAGGCGGAATGGAAGGAACGCACGGTAGACAGCCACTTTTTCAAATTCAGGAAGAATTCGATTATTTTAAGATAGTTTATTGTAGAATTAACGGAAAATTACAATTGGATTTACCTTGGAAAAAATAATATAATAATATATTTATATTTACCAAAGATAAATATAAATACAAGAAACGTCTAAAATTTGTCCATCCTTTTCTAACAGTTAGAATCTTGTTTTCTCTATGCGGTGAGTGCCTTGTGGCTCGGACAGTTTCAATTAAAACTTAATGACAACATGAAAGATGCCGAATGAGGCATCACTAATGTATTTATGTTTTGTTTGGTTTTCGTGTTTTTTTTTTGATTTTCTTGCTTTCCAAAAAATGGGCGGATTGCTGAGGGAAAGTGAGACCTCGGAGTGACAATTTCAGGAGCGATTAGCCGTCATGGTTTGAGTTATGTTACTACTAAACGGAGCACACCGCGCTCCATTGAGGCACTATACCGAGTTTTTCGTAAAAATAGAACTCTACTCGACGACACATTCGACTCTCCTTGTTTCATTCCTGACATTTACCTTTTTTTATCATTTCTCGATATTTTTTTTTGTCAGGTCGTAAATTCAAATTAATTTCATTATGAAAATTGAGAGCACATTTTTCATGAGCTAAATGCGTTTCGAGGCTAGGCCAGAATAATTTTTGGGCGTAACTTATTCCACATGGATAGAATATGTATTCAGAAAAATATGTCAATTATATCCGGATCTGTCGCATATAGTTCGACGAATTCTGGATACATATGTACAGATAATCTCACCGCTCGCATTCAAAATGTATATTATAATTTTTCGATTATATATTTTTTTCCATGTTGGTTGTCACCATTGATGAACGTACGCACTGCACGTTATTATTACCTGAAATTTTTAATAAACTTTTTTTTAATAAACCAATCGGAAGCTCACCACCAATTTATTGATGGCAAAAAAAATATACCCATACATTTCAATAACTCATTACAGTCACATAATAATTTCGCTCATAATTAATTGTGATCTGAAGTAATATCGACAGTCAATGTAGACTATGTATTTATGTATTTTTACAAGCCATTTGTAAGGATGAAATTCTAATATATGAGATATTTTTTTGAAGTTCTAACTTTTGAAAATTAATTTACCCAAAACAATCAACCGAAAAATTGTTAGTAAATCCTTCATTTTTGATGAATGATTTAAAATCACTTTAAATTGCACCTCATTCTGATAACAATGATAATTGAATGAAATTCAAGCGACGTCTCTCCGGTATTTAAATGGAAACGGATAGTTGCAATGAGTTTGAACAGATAGTACATTGAGAGAAATATTCAATAAAAATTACGTATATTTTCCGTAATTCTGGAGCGAAATGTAGTTGTCGGAAATTTTACGGAACTGTCACGTAATTTTTATCTAAAGTCACGGAATTTTTCCGCGGTGTTCCGTAATTTTTATCTGAATTATCGGTGAAAAATAACGATACCGTCACTTAAATTTTTCGAATCAACTCCGTAATCGGTAAGTGAACTGAAATTTCCGTAATTTTTACTAAATATTTCTCTCCGTGTATGAACTAGTATTGGATGAATCGAAATTCGGTGACTATTACCGCATACTTGTTTGCCTTAACAAAACCGTTGTGCCCCCACAACTACTTAACTGCATAGACAATTATATTCTCCTCATTTAATACAATATTTAATACAAGTGACTCGAGAGAAAAGCTTCAACAGAATTCATTAGATAGCATCATCCGAATGCTTCTGTCAGTGAGGTATTGCATACCGATGTTCACTAGAATTATTCACTTTGTTTCTATTGCAACTGAAGCACTTAATTACTTGGAGGAAATTTAAAATACTTACGAAGTAGACATATCGAAAAATGGAGGTTTTTTCCGTATCTACATGCGGGTAACGTCTCTCCCTTCGCATTTTGTCTTTCTTTCTGAACTGATAGTATGCCTGTCCGATTAGTCTGATGGATGAGGATCGAAGATACTTAATTTAACTCATTTTTTTCAGGGCGAACTTACAACGACTTGAATCAGTATCCAGTTTTCCCGTGGGTACTCACTAATTATGAAACTAAAGAGCTTGATCTTAGCTTGCCGAGCAATTATCGGGATTTATCCAAGGTGAGAACAAAAACCTAAGAGAATATTCCCATCCCCAATGTTTATTTTTGTCTTTTCCGGTTTCCTATTTTATTGATTTTTTATCATCTCCAAATTTCAATTCACAGAACAGCAATAGCTTAATCTCTTAGTTAACAAAAAAATTTTCTTTGCAAATCGTATGAATGATTCAGTTACTGGCAGTGAGAGGTATATTTAAATATTAAAAGTCCATTAAAGAATCATTTGTCTGTTTTGACTATATAATCAGGGTCTGATGGGTCATTTGACAAGTATTTTGTTATTAAAATAATTTGTTTATCGTTTCTAATGAGTAAATAACGGAATATCAAGTAAAATAGAGAAAAAATAGTAAATGTTCATTTAGACATAGCTAATACTATAAGTAATTTATTTAGTGGAAAAATACGTACAGGTGCTAGACACTGAATAATAGAAAATATTTATTCATAAAAAAAAAATCCTCTAAAAATGCGTTCTTATAACTGAATCATTCTCTCAGTCCGCTGAGAGAATGATTCAGATTCAAGGACTGAATTTTTATTGAATATTTCCTGCGTTTTTGAGTTGCATTTTATATTGTAAATATTTTATAATGAAAAATCTCGTGTATCCTGAATATTATGTTATCGAAAAAAAATTTCTCAACTCCCTATATTAATTTCAACAGCCAATTGGAGCACTGAATCCAAGCAGGAGAGCCTACTTTGAAGACCGTTTCCAGAGTTGGGAACACGACAGCATTCCACCTTTCCATTATGGCACTCATTATTCAACAGCAGCTTTCGTCCTTAATTGGCTGATTCGAGTGGTACGTATCTCTCAATTAATTTCCCACTCTATCCTCAATAATCTTTTGAAATACCATGGACAAATCTCCCCACATTTTCCCTCATCAATTCAACTCTCGTTACCTCGTTTCAACATCTCGACGACCATTACAGCAGCCTCGTCTGATGATAAGAGCGATAATCGTCAGTCCTTGTCCTTGTCGTCAGCCTAGAAAAACTAATGCTTTTGTTAAAAAACCAAACCGGTGCCAGTAACAGATCATAAATTCTCCGAGACACATTTAGTAGTGAGTTAAACACTAATTCGGGGGCGTTGAAACGCCTCGACGAGTCGTCGAGTCTACCAGTCCGTTAAATATACATCTGTTTAGTACAACACCATTTTCACGGTAGATACTCTCGCCTCTTTCTCCTCATCTTCGTATATACCAATATACGAATTGAATTATTTATATTTAACATTTTTTTTCTTCGAACAATATTACCTAAAGTCTTTGATCAAGAGACTTTTATTCAGAAATATGTCAACGCGTGGAATAAATGATTTGTAGAGCCGCGCATAAAGTCTTCTGTGTACTCTGTAAAGATTACTTTTTACTAGTAGTTTGCACTTGGGGGAAGTTCACTTATATATTTTGAAAACTTCTAAAAACACTCGTCCCAAGTACATTTTGTGGCCTTGGATAAGGCACTACAGCTGTTGATCGAGTGGAAATGGTACTAGGAATTGCTTCCTTCCTGTCGCTATTATAAACTACTTTACTTTTCATAAGTGGCAAAGTAACAGTAAAAAGTAATTTTTCCACTTCTTTCACATGCTCTTGGGACTTAAAAATTGTAGGATTTCGATGCTGCCAATTAACTGCGTCTTACGGGATAGAATGAACTTTGAAAATGGGTAATAGTTTTTTATTTTAATTTTTCTAAAAATTCTAAAAAATTGAAAAATACGAAAGATTTTTTTTTTTGCACCAAAATCGAGTGGAATAGAAGGGAATTTCATGTATCTTTATTATTAATGTTTGATATTTTTAAAAATCGACGAAATTAATGCGTTCATTACCGCTTAAGAAAAATGAGGAAATCATTAATGATTACTTTAATAATTATCGATTACTAATTTGATATGATATATGAGTGTGAGGTTCTACAAAAAGGCATTCCTTGAAGTGTTTTTATCTTGGAAAATACGAGGAGATTTTGGAGGGTGTAGGTCTGATGAAAGTAGCTTTTACAGAATGAGTCCCAAGTGGCCTCTTAAAGAGCGCACCCGCCTTTTCTGCGCCTTGAAATGCACTCCCTTAGATGTTTTGCCGCTGTAAAAATCCGGCCACTTTTGATTTCACGCGGTTGCACATATGCCATTCTATATATGCCTCTTCTCTTTACCTCAAGAGTAAAAGGAAAACTCAATTCCACATTGTTGAATTGTTTTGTCTCTTTCAGGAGCCCATGACCACGATGTTCTTGGCGCTTCAGGGTGGCAAGTTTGATTATCCCAACAGGCTATTCTCGTCAATTGCACTCTCCTGGAAGAATTGTCAGAGAGATACGTCCGACGTGAAGGTGTGCACATGATCATAGTCGAAGGAGAAAAATAGATTACAGATTGACTCCAGTGATTTTATTATTACATTATTTCCATTTGTCTTTCAGGAACTTATACCCGAGTTCTTTTTCCTTCCTGAGATGCTCGTGAATACGAATAATTATCGTCTTGGAAGGAATGAGGATGGTAGCTCAGTTGGTGATGTGGATTTGCCTCCCTGGGCTAATTCGCCGGAAGAATTCATTAGAATCAACCGAATGGTGAGACTAGAAACTTTATTCAGATTTATATTTTAAACGATGTAAATGTACCGCGCATCAAGACCATGATTTTACCATCGAGTTTGTCTCCTTTTAAGAAATTCATCAATCTCCAATCATTCGATTGATTTTTTCCTAATTAATGACGATTGACAAAAATTGTAATTATTGACTCAAATAAATACAACTGAAGTCGAGTAAATACAACAAAGTGGGAAAATTATATGTCTCGCCGATAAATGCAGTCGATTTTTCTCATTTTACTTGGAAACTTAAAAAAAACTTAGTCTTATAAAGAACGAGAAAAAATCTCATTAGATTATTATTATTATTATTAGAGTTATTTTTCTGCCAATCAATGACGAAAATTATGTTTATTATTTCAATTAGAGTAAACTAATGAAAAGTCAAGCAAATAAAGAAAAAAGAAAGTTGAAAAATGATTGTTTCTGTAACTTATCGATGGACTCTTTACGATAAGATTTCTTATTGATGAATTACAAACAATATTTTAATTTAGACATTACGTAATTGTCATGCAAGGGTGGTGGAAGAGAATGGAAGGAAAGGGAATTATTGTAATTCAATACGAATAACAAGTGTTTGAATGTGGCATTATAAAGCAATATCATATCTATGATCATTTCGAATAAGTAATCTGTCTTTTTCATGGTAGGCGCTGGAGTCTGAATTCGTGTCCTGCCAGCTCCATCAGTGGATCGACCTCATTTTCGGCTACAAACAAAGAGGTAACATATTGTCCACAATGGTTTCTCTATTAAACATTGACATTACGTTTTTAACCAGCAATTGATCTTATTTGATTGATGCGATTAGATTGTGCAATTCATCAGTAAGAAACATAACTCGCACAATTCGCTCGCTCCCGAGTCGTATTTTTTCTTTTTACAATTATTTTGGTAATATTATATGAAATCATGCATAACACATCTCTGAAAAATTATAAGATCCAGCATTTTCCTAAATAATTCATCTAATAATAGGTTGAAATGCTTAAAAAAGTGTTACATCTAAAGTCGCGTCAAATTAAATTTCCTTCAATGTTAATTGCGGGTGGCGCCTCTATATCCGGCGCTTCCTCGAAGGCAAGGAAATAGAAAATTCAATGGATGTATGAAGACCCGTGTGCGTATGGAAAGAATTAGTTTTTTAGTTGGCTTCCTCCGTGTCTCCCCAAGTCCCCAGCAATTAGGCGCCCGTGGAAGACGCGACAATGCGTCCCCAGCATCACGCACTTTCGTTAATACGTAACACATTTAACTGAAAGCAGTATCACGATAATGAAGAATAATTTTTTTAACCGGAAGTTCACAAACGGAACTATTTCACAGCAGTTTATCTTGAGATTTTAACAGTTCAAGTGTTTCGGATGTCATCGGGGGAATAAAACTAACAAATGGCCTTTCAGATATGAGTTATCGGTCTTTCATTTTTATTTTTATGACACTTGACGGATTGAAGGAGTGAGGTGCAATAAAAAGTGGAAGCTGGATGAGGAATTGCTGTATTGTAATGGAAATTGCCGTCACGTGAATGACTTGCCCCTTTATTAACAACAATTAATTCCATAATTTTTCTCTAATAATTGAGAGATTTAACCAAACAGGACGGACATTGAGAAATAAAAAATGTTTTCCCCAAATTTTCTCTCTTCCAGAGAATTATTGAATGGCTTATTACTCTATTTCTCTAGTTCTATTTTACTCCAAGGTATCGGCATTAATTTTCAATTGCGATAATTATATCTCTCGAAGATGATCCTGCCAATTATAGCTTTAAGTGAAATCCATAATTAGTGAGAATAAGAAACTCAGAGGTTCAACGGAGAAAGGGTCTTACCGGCATAATCATCCTTGAGGAAACATGATCATAATAATTAAAACCTAATCAGGATGGAGTCTAAATACATCTAAATAAATCACCTACCTTTTTTGATGACGAACTTGAAAAATTGCTGAACGTTTCACATTTATTTTCTTTTATTCCTATAAAACTGGAAAATGCTTCTTTATTTCAGATTACATCAATTTTTCGGTAATTATTACTGAATATTTCTCTCCGTGTTAGAGACTTCATCACTGAGAACGAAAAATCACCATTAGCACTGTTAAGAGATTGTATTTATTGAAGGAATAACTATTTGTATGTTCAGGTCCAGAGGCAGTGCGTGCAACAAATGTATTCTACTATCTGACATACGAGGGAAGTGTAGAATTGGATTCAATAACCGATCCAGTTATGAAAGAAGCTATTGAGAATCAGATACGGAATTTCGGTCAGACTCCATCGCAACTCTTGATGGAGCCTCATCCTCCAAGAAGTTCAGCAATGCATTTGGTATGTACAGATTCTCTTCGGAGTATAGAAATTTTTGTAGAATTTATCAAATAACTCAAGTTTTCCATGTGAACCTTAATAATCCTGGAATAATTCAGTAGCGGAGTGGTAAACTAGGATAATTACACATATTCTCTAAATGATTTTTTCTCAAATATCTTGGAATTGAAGGGAAATATTGATATTGACATAAAAGTAAACATACCACCCATTTTTCCACGCATTTATACATATTGTAAGCAAATTTTAAATTTTTATATTTTTAGCAATTTTTATATTAAATGCAATCATATTCCCGAAATGTTGTGGATATTTGCAATAAACATACTCTGATTAGTCAGTGTATTAGTGAACACCTAATTTCACAATAAATAATTTAGCATAATAAAACCGTTGGAATAGTGAATATTTTTGAAAAAGTGTTGTTTACGACTTTTGATGAAAATTTTGTTGAGAATTTCAATGTAAACAGCCATTTATTACAATTTCAGTCTCCAATGATGTTCTCAAGTATTCCCGATGACGTCTGTATGACCATTAAATTCCCATCAAATTCACCAATATGCCATATCTCAGCAAATACCTACCCACAATTACCATTACCATCGGTAGTGACGGTTACCACTGGCCAACAGTTTGCTGTTAATCGCTGGAACACCAATTACGCTGGTAAGTCCTAACCCTCTCCTCATTAATTAAATACCCTTGTCAACCACGAATAATTCAATTCAATAATTTGTTGACTTTCCAGCCTCGGTGCAGTCACCGAGTTATGCTGACACGCCACAAGCACAAGCTGTTAATCAACCCTTGTCAATGGATCCAGTCTTGTGTAACTAGAAACTTTATTTGACCATAAAAATTATCGTCGGAAGTATTGTCTCCTCGATTTACTAATCCATAAATTGTTCTCATCCTCAGCCCAAACAGCTAATCACTCGAATCAAGCGCTGAAGAGGCACCTGGGTGATAATTTCAGTCAGAAACTCAAGATAAGAAGCAACTGCTTTGTTACGACCGTTGACAGCAGGTTTCTGGTGGCATGTGGCTTCTGGGACAACAGTTTTCGAGTATTCTCCACGGAAACAGGTACATCGAGATAAATATCTTTTTTCTAATGTGACGTCAATGACCCAGGTACTGGTGCTGGCACTGTTTCAGTTATCTGTATCCATTATTGTACCAAATCAATTAATGATCTTATTAGATGAATATTTACTTGAAAACATTATTTTTTTACGTTGAGGTCGACAATTACAGTCAGAACTTTCAAACGACCGTATGTATTTTTAATAAATTTTTATAAATTAATTTTGGTGTCAGGTGAATGCTAGTAACTGGTACAGGGTATCTTCAAATTTCTACAAGCTACCAGTTATTGGACCATCTGTTATTCTTTCTATTTTTCTCAATTCATTCCTTTACTCATCAACGATAAACAACATTTTTTAATTAGAAAAAACTTTTCAAATAGCTTATTAGACCCTGACTCAGGCCCTAAAACGATGATAAATGATTTTTTGATGCATTTTCAAAGTTGAAGTAGGCCTCTTACTACCAGTAACCGGGTGATCCACCTCGTTGAGAGTAATTCGAGATTTCGAAAACTGGTTGTGATTAATGAAAGTGTAGTCCTGAAAATTGAGAATAAATCACGGGAGTTTTGCCTTTTTTTTCAGCTAAAATCGTTCAGATTGTCTTTGGACATTATGGAGTCGTGACGTGTTTGTCCAGGAGTGAGTGCAATATCACGTCTGATTGTTATATTGCATCTGGCAGTGCTGATTGCACGGTACTACTCTGGCACTGGAATGCAAGAACTCAGACAATTGTGGGAGAGAGTGAGGCACCAGCACCGAGAGCTACACTCACTGGCCATGAGCAGCCGGTCACTGCTGTCGTTATATCTGCTGAATTGGGACTTGTTGTCTCTGGATCTTACAGTAAAGAAACATTGAGTATTTATTATCTCTCAAACTTCTCTCAATTGGGATTCCCCCGATTCTCTACAGTTATTCGAATCGTTCTGTCAACTTGGTGTCAACACCACTATTATAAAAACGGAGATACTCTTCGTCAGTACAAAAGCTAATACGTTGGTCATTTTTAAAAATTATAACATAACATACACATGTCATTTTAACAATTGAATTTTCAGTTTTCTTCAAAATACAGGGATATGAAGTCTAAAAACATATTTAAATACTTCAAACTAAAAGTATTTCTTCTAACTCTGAAATTGCAAAGTTAAAAGACATATTTAATCAAAACTACGTTGATCTTGCGTAATTCCAAAATGCCATAATTTCTATTGAAATTTCGCTTCCGTAATTGAAGCCCGATTTGGGAATTCTGTAACTTTTACTGAATATGTTTTTCGCTGGTTGTTTCTTCATTGAGTGACACAAATTTTCAACTCTCTCCTGAATATAAAATTTACCTTGGTTAGACGATTCAAATAAATCAATCTATAATAACACCAATTGTTTCAGTGGGGCCAGTTTTGGTGCACACAACATTTGGCGACTTGTTGAGATCTTTAGAGCCTCCAAATGGTTTTACCTCACCTGAAAACATTGCAATGTCCAGGGAAGGGGTGATAGTTGTGAATTACGAGCGTGGTCATATCGCTGCATTCACTATAAACGGTAAACGGTTACGTCAGGAGTCTCATAACGACAATCTCCAGGTAAAATAGCCTTTTGTAATAGTTTTTTTTTCCTTTCATACGTTTGTTGAAGGGTGTATAAGAGTATTGATTTATGGGTTACAGTGTCTACTGCTGAGCAGAGACGGTGAATATCTGATGACAGGAGGCGACAAGGGAATTGTCGAGGTCTGGAGAACTTTCAATCTGGCGCTCCTTTATGCCTTCCCAACTTGCGAGGGCAGTGTCAGATCGCTGGCGCTATCTCACGACCAGAAGTAAGTATTAAAGTTTCCCTCGCAGGATAAATCAACGGATATTTATTGCGTACGGTTGAGCGAAAAAATATCATGGATACCTTTTTCTATCACTTGATGGATTAAATTTTGTCGCAACGGAATCCGCATGAACACTACCGGCTCGGTTGAACAAAATATGAGTAAAAAAACGTAGAATATGTCTATACGACTTTTTTGCAGAACACAAGTGATTTCTATTCCAATAAATTTAATTAGTGCGGGGCGGGGCAAGAACGTTCATTCAAAGCTGAAATTCATTCATCTCCAGTACAATTTTGATGCTGCAGGCAGAAGTACTAATTAATATAATAATTACAGTGACAGTTTTGCTTGTCGAACATTATTAATACGTGTCTATTGAATTTCTCGAAATATTTATTCCAGATGCGTTTCATTTTACATTCATAAAGTCATGATGTTTGTGCTAAACTGAGAGTAAATGGAAGACTAGAAATATCTTTGAAATTACCGTAAATAAACAATGTTTTGTTTTTTTTAATTGCTGATTGAGAATCCCTTTTAAAAAAAAGCATGTAACGTTTTTTGTCTGCTTTTTTTGGCGCTATGCATATCAAAATATATCTATATAATATGATAGATATATATAATATATATATATAAATTACATTAATTTTATATATATTAATTTTTTTTTTATATAATAATATTTAATATTTTGATTTTTATATTATATTTTACTAAATTTATTTAAGGCCCGGGTGGACTACCTATAGAACGTCATCTTTTGTTTAAATTTTATCTTTCTAGCCTAAAATACATAAAAATTTGGGATAAGTTTTGAGGTCACGAAAATCACTGGATTTGGCATGAAAAAATAATGAAAAAAAAGAGGAAAAAATTTTGAAGGGCGCTAAAGAG